GAGTGCAACAAATGAAAATATACACTGCCCAAAATGCATACAACCATATCCGATCAATTTCCTTTGCGTATAGATCTCAATATCAAAATATTAACTGGATGTAACAAAATTATGGCGGATCAACTCGTGATCAGCGATGCATTGTATTTCACTTTTCAGAGAAAGTGCATCTGCTTCTGGCGACGAGCTAGCCAGGCAACAAGTGCCGGTAGAGAGAGAGAGAGGGCAGCGGCTGGCTGTATTTCCATTCAATCCATCCCAAATTCAGCCCCTCGCTTAGCTGATGCTGGCTGCCATGGCTACCTGTAGAGCTATAGCTTTCTTCATCAAGCCAAGGGATGCAGGGAGACAGACAACGGTGGTCGCGGTCCGGTGCATCTCTCGGAGACCGCAAGCCCAAGCTAATTTACCCCACCGAGGCGTAAACCTATTGCTTGTATTGTCCTTCCATTTCCTTCATCCCTTTCATTTCCCAGAGACTTGGTTAAAATACGAAAAAAGTGCCCCAGCGTCAGAATAATTTGAATTAATTTTCCATTTGTGATATCCTTGATAAGTCTCAAATTATTGCTCGAATCCTGATGCAACGACTCTTATTTATTTCCTGTTGTACTTTGAGGGCCATTCTTCAGAGGGTTGATATGAATTCGCCTGGCGTGTTATTCATTATACCACTTATATCCCCCTTGTATTCTCGCACATTTCATGAAGCTGACAAACACACTACAAAATGATTATTTATCACCGTTTGATTAAAGACATACGTCGGTGATATATCAGTGTCGAAAACTAAAAATCCACGATAAGCTGTAATTCAGGGATCGAGAAGTTTTTCAATGAAAAGATGGCCGAAAGCAATCAATAGCATTGCACTTCGAATTCTAAATAATGTAAATAAATAATGAATCATATATTTAGAATAAGCTTTTGAACAACATACAAGTGTATATGAAACAAAATGGTGCAAACGTCGTGGATTGTATATATTGATTTTCTTCATATCTTCAATTTTTATTTAAAGGTTGCGTGCTTTTCAATAATTTATTATTGAATATCGTCATCATTAATCTGATAATGCTTTCTTACATAGTAAGAAGATATTTCAGTCTAACTTTTCAAGCACATTTTTCTTTTTTTCTTTTCATGCTATACACAGCAGGCTGGGCCTCTATGAATCTATTACAAGAAGTCCACCAGTGAAAGAGTAGTGAGAATAGAGATGAAAAATAGTCGTCGTGATGTTCTTTAAAACCAAAGATTATGATGACCAATGCCAAGAGCTTGTTTTTCACAGAACAAATCATGACATGCTTCATTACGAGTTATTCCACTGGTTATTAAAGGTAAAGACCAGTTATGGTCATGCGATAGCATTGTGAAAGAAACGTTGTGGAATCGATCAGAAAAGGTTGATCATCTAGCATCTAGCATCTGCAAGGTTCTGGAATCATCAAAATGATAAGAAATTTGGCCCATTCTTCGTAAAGTTACAAGCACTATACACAGAAAGATGTATATGGGACTACCCTATATCTCTCACAGACCATGAGAGAAACAAATTTACCAAATATATGAATTAGTAGGCGGTTTCCCGGCAAATTTTCTATCATCATGTATTAGTCAAAACATATTCTTTCACATGATTGGTAATGAGAGCTTCCATTTCATTTTTTGAAATTGGGGCGTTTCCAATACTGGTCTTTACCTTTAACAGAAAGGATTTAAATTTCATTATTAATGAAATCCGCACTAAACTATGTGATTGTTATGAACACGTGTTTGTTTTCTCCCTTCACGGTTACATCATTTTCTACCATGGAGTACAACATCTCAGTTTAACGGTCATTTGATTTTCTTTTTGTTTTAATGTGCCTCAGTTATCTATCAAATTGAAAGATACAGTTCGAATCTTACCATGATTTTCCCCACTTTCCTTAGAAATTGAGACACAAATAAAGTATCAACCCGGTGTCATCGTAGCAATAAGGTGTTCAGGGTCAAGTTCAACCCATACGAATTTCTTACTGGAATTAACAAATCTTACAACTTATATATCCAGCTATAGATTGCTAATCAATAAAATAAAACACATATCACATTTTGTATGATGTTTCCCCGTGAGTTTGCACATTTTGTGTCTTTGTCGTATTGAGCCAAGGCCTTGAGTGATTCAATCTCGTGGAATCTCACCGACGATCATGAGATTATACAGCCAAAGACGTGATCAAGTCTCGATAGCATTACTCAAGGCGTATTTATCCTTTTATTTTCCCTTTTTTCTCTCTTTTTTTTCATGATCAAATTCTGACGGCTGCGGAATGTGTCAGACGGATGTAACTGGATTAACATGAGCGTAGGGGTTGAGAGAAACATACCTGACCGATTAAAAACATATAAAAAGTAAGAAGGAAGGAAGAACGCGATAACAGTTTTGTTACGACAGAATAGAATCATTAAGAAAGTTAAACGGACAGCATGCTCGAGCGAATGCACTTTTTTTTCTCTCATCATTTATTTTAGGAATCGCGTGAGATTATCATCGGAGTATGGTTTGACTATAGCCAACATATTTGAAGAAGCGATGGAACTTTCTCACAAATTGATCCTGTTACCAAAAAAAAAAAAGATCCCATCAAAAGATTAAATATAATATTCAATACTTTTGCAACTACTTGATGATATTAAACTAGTAAATCGGACATGGATATGTATCAAATTTAAAATCGAATCAGCTATCAGAATGTATATTTTCAGAAGATTTAAAGAAGTTGTGGATGGAATTACTACACAACCTTGATAATAATAATACTAATAATACTAATAATATCGAATATTTAGGAGCGCTAAAAACAATATGTACCATAGCGCTTACAAATACAAATACATGAAAAGAGGACAACAGAATGTACAGTCTCACATGAAGTAGATCACCTAGATCACTGGGGGAAAAAGGTAAGTTTTGAAAACTGTTAGGTAAAACCCTTTCCAATTGACGGAATTGACAATTATTGAGATGATCACGAGTTTTACAGCTACTTGATGAGATTAAAATAAGGAAACATGATATAATAAATTATTATATGTAATTAAGATCGAATCCGAAACCGGAAAGCAAGTTTTCTCCTAACTATTGCGCAACTCAAGGATTGTGTAAGAAAATGTGACGTCATAAAAGTTTTGTCAAAGTCATTACTAACGTTAAAGATTCGTGAAAGAAGTACAAGCACCTTCCCGTTCGGTTGGAGTACCGCCTACATGTCGTCTGCCTAAAGTTTACGGATCGCGTGCAGCAAAAATGACTCTGCCTTGGCAATTATTGGTAGTGTGGCCTTCCAAGCCATGTTTCATAAACAACAGATTACACATTCCGGCAGTAAACAATTACTCGGAGACCTTAAAAAGACCGAAACCAACCTTCCTTCCTCTCATCTTTCTAAATTAAAATACCAAATGAGCTCTTTTCTTTCTTTTTTGGTGTATTTTCTATCCTTTTTCTCTTTCCTTCGTTAGTTTTAGCTACTCGATTTGAGAGAAGAATGGATCCTTATATTCCGGTTGACACACAAATCATGTACTTCATTAAAAAACGAAGTGTAAAGAAACCGCTGTCAGATAAGCTGCGATTGTTTTGTGTCATTCTTGGTTTACATCCGATTGTAAGTTGTTAATCCCATATAAGACGAATAGCCGGATTAAGGGATTAATTTAAATCACTCGGTGATGAAACTTGATCATGAAATATGATAATTGTGTACGTTCTCCCGTTTTTGTCAGTCCCCGCGTGAAAAGTACGCGAAGAGAATCGAGTGTCGGGCATTTTATTTATTTTTTTTAATCGGAGACAAGGCAAAGGAAGGCTTGGTGGGGTTGCGTTTCAACCATAGCAATTTCTTGAAACAGATATGACCATAATTAGAAGGTTTTTATGACAGATAAAGAAGCAATAGAATTAGTGTATTCTTCCTGTATGAGATGATATCTACGCGGATATGTATTGCTTAGTGATGTGTATGAATCATTCTTGATTATCTATCAACCCCGCAAATAATGGCAGACGGCATGGGACCGAGAACGCCTACATTTCCCTTTGCTTGAAGTTTATCACAACTTACACAAGGGATGGCGAACTGGGAAAACAATTACAAAGGTCTTATTGGCTTCCAAGGCAATTTATCAACACAATCAAGTTCAACTTTATACCTATAGCATTGAATCTGTAAATCTATGTCGGAGCAGAGAGAATATGCATCGTATACAAATAGCTCTTCCACAAAATGTGTGAATTCAATTATTAAGATAATTTGCGCGGCCTGTGAATGTTTGAACTTTCGATTCCTCTCTTTTTATTAGCAACCTAAAAGATACAATCAGAAGTGATACTGGTCCGTTTTACATTGTGGAGAAATGCATGGTTTTGTCAAGTTCCATCAAAGTAACTAAAACAACTTTGAAGTCGAGCAAGCGCATTAAATTGTGTATCTCTTATCGTATTCTTTTTCATTCGTTCCCTTTAATATAAGTTGTAGAGCAATGCTTCACAGCAAAACAAAAAACATGTTCACAATGATTATTGTACAGAATAACTCTAATTTTTAAACAAATTGGCATGCCAAGTAATAATTATAGGCTCCTCAAACAATTGGTTGCCGCTTAATTCTAACCATTAAAATTTGTTAATTATGTAATGTATATGAATGAATTTATGTATCAACCAATTAAACAGAATGTCAACTTACAATCTATCTATCATTCAATCAATCAATCAATCAATACATACATAAATCAACACCGTTCATTATGACAAGTGAACTATCAATCACTATACCTATGTTCCTAGATACACAAACACTGCTTTGTAATGTAAACATGCCTTCACACATCTACATGTATACCAATCCATCCTCTCATTAATAATTCCACCATCACAAACAATACCACTGTCACGACCTACACTCAAGCACTCAAGTTTACTCAAATAAAACAAGTCAGCTCCACACTGCTTTACATTTTCTTTCCATTTTATTTTCGGAATCCCTAGATGCCCAAATACACCATGAACAAAAGAAAGAGAGAAAGAGAGAGAGAGAGAGAGAGAAAAAAAAAACAATACAAAGAGATTCGTCTCACATCATTATATACATATCACATCTACCACACTGTAGGGTATCTAAAAACGAATCGTACCTAAAATTCCTGACAAAACAAATCAAAATGACATCAAGTCATTCCTAGACCCGATAACACTCTAGATAATACATTATTATTTTATAGTCTGACTACAATAAATATCCATGTATCAAATGTCATAATGTAAATACTCAAAAAACAATTGATGATGTCAATCCAGTTAACAAGCAAGCAAGCACACTTACAATAAAAACTGTATTTCTTTTTTTCTTACTGGCGATAAATGAGAGAGTAAGAGTATACGAGTTGTGAACTGATAAATTTCTAAAAATAATATTGCTTTTGCTATGAAAAGCACTGATATTTCATGACAACCCTTACCAAATATAAAACATTTCCAAATGATTTATAAATTTCTTGCTCAGGAGAGTTGAGTTAGTGGTTACATTAGCTTTGCTACTTTGTAACATTTTGTGACAAGATTGCTGTATTTTGGCAACGATTTCCTTATGGCAAGTTTTTCATGGAGAGTTGGTCAAAACAGAATGGCACTTATTTTTCTTTTATTATTTGAATTCCTTCAAAACACCTCATGCATTGCCTTATATCAACAATTACAATACAAGAAATCACAGTGTTAGAATCACTATAGCTTATGGTCACTGTGACACTTACACACTGTGTTAAAATCTAAACAAAAACAAAAAAACTATAAATCAAATCCCTTAAATATCACTGGGTAAGAAAGCCAGCAAACTAACCAAAATATAGGAAAATTTAAGATATCAGGATGGGAAGTTGTGCCCAAAAATGCACCACTCATAAAATATAGGCCTACCCACCAAAATAGGATCACTTCAATACAGAATTACTTATTTCCTTCTCATTTTACATTATATATCTTCACTAAGTCTCGTTTAGAATACAAATATACAGTCTAATTTCACACAAGAATAATAATAGGTACTCATAAAAATTTTCACACATAAGAGGCACATCATTAAATCTTTCAGCCTGGTTCTATACAAGATCATATATGACCGATATCAAAGAGATCCCATTTCTATAAGAATTGATTTAATGTAAAATTTCAAATAGAATGGGCAAGTTACATGAGATGATATCAGCTGTGTACCATTCTTGATTTTAAAAAAAACGACACTCTACACATTTTAAAGAATGTTCACTTATAATGCCACATTTTAACAATTTTTCCCCATTCCTGATTGTTTCTTCATTATTCAGCCAATATCTTATTGAAATTACAAAAAACAACAATGGTGGTTCAAACGACCTCTATCATTAATAGCTTAAACATTTGAGGTAGACATCATTTTACATACAAGATTCAATGTTGAAGGGGGGGGGGGGGGAGGAGAGTTACAAGGAAGAAAGATCAAAGCTGCTAGGAAAAATCCCATATCATATGATTTATGATCTAGCATCTTGCACAAACAGTGGCAAGAGTCACTTCATAACTTATGAAGCTTGAAGTATGTAATATCAGATATCATCAGGATATGTATGATTGAAAGCTATAGTACTGTTAACAGACTCAATTAAACCAGGTAAAATGATTTATTGATAAAGTTAATTCAAGAACCCTGCATCTCCAAACCATAGTATCATTTGAAATTCACATATTATCAATCAGTGTTCGAAGTGAGAAATATCAAAACATCAAAATATGTGGTGGTTTTTCAGGGGTAAACTTCAAAATTAGCTATTCAAAACTCAATTTGGGTACTTTTACATCTTTGCAAAGGCAGATGAATACCTGTTAACTATGACACAATCTGAAATACTCAATTTGCTATCTCCGAACTTCAATTTCCTAGCAAGCTGAATGGCTCTATACTCCCCACTACACAGGCATAGAGGCACTCGTACAGAAAGTCTGACTACTATAAATATTTTTGTTTATGCTAAAGAATCTATTTCTACATTCTACTGGAATGTCAAAATCTAGATTTTTCATAACTTTTTTTCTTCATAACTGATTTTTTTTTCTTTTTCTTTATTGATAGCTAGAAGAATGGAGTATAAAAAGAGGCACTGCTATGGAAAGAGTCCACACCACAGGCACTACAAGTATATAAAAAAACATTGAAATATTACTTTCAAATATACATGAAGAACTTCTAATAGATATGGCATGATGAATAGATAGATGGTATTCCCTTTTACTTAATTTTAATCACTCAGATCATTAGGAGAGAGAGAGAGAGAGAGAGAGAGAGAGAGAGAGAGAGAGAGAGAGAGAGAGAGAGAGAGAGAGAGAGAGAGAGAGAGAGAGAGAGAGAGAATGTATTAGGGAATAAACTATTAAAACAAAATACGGATGAAAGAATAATATAAGGGTGAATATAATGACTAAGGATTGCAAATTTCCAAAATGAAAAAAAAAAAAAAAAATCCCTCAAATAAAATTCTTATTGCAAACCCTGCCTGAGTGGAAGTACGCATATGAATATTTACAGATTGCGGTCAAACTAAGGACTGGTCTGAAGTCAACATGGTCAATATGACTTAGTACTTCAGCCAACCAAATTATATGATCATGATGAAGGGTTTGATGACACTTTCTATATAACAAAGCACATAAATAAACATGCATGGTATCAATAGCCAAATCGGGTAGCTGCTAAGAGTACTCACAACAACTTTATCAAAATATCACCAGCAAATAGGGCAGTTTTTGCTGATCGTACATTACACTTTCATCATTTGAAATACAATTTATGATTTCACTTTATTCTGCCCCTTTAACATTGAAAATAAAAGCACTTCTAGTGAATGCATACACGGATCAGGATAAATATATATCTTTGTACCCTTTTTCCATTAAAAAATCACACATGTTCTAATGATATATTTACAGCACATCACAAATAATCTACCAGTCTTTAAATTTTCTTCAGCAGTTTTGTTTATCGAAAGCATTGTTTGCCAGCAAGACTGATAGCATAAGGGGGGAATATACAGGCAGTCTGATAGTCTGAAGTGCAAGTTCCTGACTGGGAGCTACTTCACTTCAGACGTGCAGACGGACGAAAGCTCTCAGGTAGCTATACTGTGGGAGACTCACTTGAGTGCTAATTGCTCAGTACGCAGTCTACTTGATCCTGCTGCTATTAACTCAACTAAAGTCTACGCTAAGCAAAGTTTTGCTTTCTACAACTACATTCATCATCACCTCCTAGACATACCAAAAAGCCAAGTACACACAATTGAAATCTAACACTACAGAAATCCTGGAGAGCACATACAAAATATTTACCCTGACTTTGAGTTTTCCTATGGTTTTCTTTGTTGCACAAGTCAAACATTCCGAAGATGCAGCACGCTACCAACTTAAAATATGCTTAATTGATGGGTGACACTTATAATACATTACTTTCATCATATCACACGTTCATAGAATATTTCATATTGCAGCATACATTGAACCTTCAATTACTTGGCTGTCTGGGAGTAATTCCCCCCCCCCCCTCATTTCTCTCTTTCTTGAGAATTAAATGCCAATAATATCTGGGTCTCTTTGCGTACATTCCAATCCCTAAATCTAAAGGGATGATATTTAATCCAACAAAATAGGAGGAAACGTCTGTGAAGTTCTTATGTCGTCACTTGCCTGAAGTTTTCCTTACATAATCTGTCTAAGACGACAAACTCTATAACTAGCCAACCCAAACTTGGTTTTCATTTTCTCTTGGCATCCAGCAAGAAAATTATGACACTTATTTTTTGGCACAAAAGACAACAGATTGGGCAGCATGTGACACAACAGCTCTTCTTGTTTATGATTCAGTGGGAATCACCTCACTAGTAGAGATAGCTTGGTCAATTTCCTCTTGAAAATATCTGGATTCAAGAGAGAATTCTCCAACTTAAGAATCTCATCCCCTATTTCTAATCAAATATACCACAATATTAGCTATAATAACAAACTGATCAACATGATCTTTTATTACAATAATGCACAATATTACAATTATTGGAATATCATATCTTCTTAATTTGTTTTGATTATTGTACATCTTCCTGGTAAAAAATTACTATTGCTTTGGAATAATTATTTCATTTTCTGAGGGGCAAAGACATATCATTCAAATGAGTTGTAAACACACATAATGGCAAGCTCAATGGACCCATTAATCATGCATTTAGAGGCCTAAAATTAGACTATTTTTCTATCAAATAGTTGTTATAAACTTGGCATTAGATATTATGGAGTTGATGGTGTTTGAATCATCCATGCATCAAAATAATTGAGATGAGATAAAGAGGAAACATGGAATAATTTCTTTGTTTTTGCTGGAAAAGACCGCAGCAGCACGCAAAGCAATCAAGCTCACACCTTGACTCTCCAAAAATCGAGGTGTTATGATGTGGCAACTTGGAAAAGCGTAAATAAGTCTTCCTCTTCGGCTTAACTAATCGGGCAAGCCGGTAGAGGATTCTGGGCCTGATTCCATGGAGCGAAGCCAGGGTTTGGGCTGCTTAAATTGGCAACACTAAGCAAAGCAAATCAAAGCAGAGCAAAGCAAAGCAAAGCATGATGAAGTGGCTTCATGCAGAAAGCTTGGCTTGATGCTTGCTTCTAAAGAGCTTCAAGGTGGGGACATAAGAGCATGGTCAACAGCTAAAATAAATGTCAAACAAATTTTCTTCCATCTCACGTTTGGCTCCGAGTAAATTGCTCTGACAGGGTCGTTTATTATTATAATTTCTTTTCCTTTCTTTCCCTGTAAAGATGGATTATGGATGACTATTGTGATGCTTGACATGAAGAGCAGAGGGTCGGTGGTATATATGATTCGTTCACAGCCAAGGTGTGAAGATTATTGGCTTCATTAATCATGCTTTGTTAGACATGTTATTCTCTATTGCTTCATCATCAATCTAATTTGTTTATGCTATTTCCTTTGGCACTCAAGGAGTTGTGTTGAAGAGAGAGAGGGGGGATTCAGCAAAATAGGGTTGCGTAGTCTCTGATATTGTTTTAAATGGTTTGCAATTAATTAATTATGGATTAATATAATTCAACAGATACATAAGACTTACAATTTAATCTTGCAAGTCTCTGTACAAAAGTAACTTTTTAAATATGATTAGGGCTTTGTCCTTTTATCAAAACCGAAATTGCCTTCAAATGCTTTTTGTTTCAGTCTGGGACATGAAATAATAGGCAGAATGAGGAAGAAAGCTTTAATAAAGCGTGCATATTCAAAGAAGGATCAGCTAATCAAGAAGAAGTCATTGTTTATATCAATTCATCACTGCACTGCATTCAATAATGGCACATGAAACTCTCAGAGCTTTGAATGGCACTAAAACTACTAAACTATTTATTTCTGAACATTAATTCAGAGAGATATGGCACAAAATTCACAATTCTTCTGCAATCACATAAACCATGAATGGTTCGGGTCAAATCGACCCATAACACGGCAGGCAGGCTCTCGTATACATAGTTTCATTCTCGTAGCAGCGAAGGGGAAAATAGCAAGCGTGGAGTTTGAGGAAGCAAGAGGAGAAAGAGGTATTCATAGAAGCATTGTCAGACTGTATCATCAATCATGGTGCTCATAAACTTGTGCTTTATGATTGAGAGGAGGTATAAATGGTGGGGATGCCCAAACAAAAGAGATGATAGCAGATGTACAATGGGGGCATGCGTTGTCGACTAAGGCCTGTGGTTGGCATCAATAGGTTCTTGCGGTTGTCGGTGCACATAATGCATGCAACTGCAAGCCCCTATGGCACGACGGCCAGGCTCTTTGCCGTGGGTCTGTAGGGGTGTAGAGGATAAATCAACTTGCCTCCCAGCTTCTTTCCCGTCGCCATACCATCTTTTGAAATTCATGACAAATCATGAGCGAACAAACCCTCCTCATAACCATATTCAGCAGAGCTGCATAAAATGATTACTGGCATCTCATTCTTCTTCTCCTGTGTTCAGTATTTATTATCATATAAAGGATAGCATCAGCTCTATGAGGATGGCAAGTTGACTTAGAAGCAAACAATGAATGTGATAACATTTATATTGGTGAAGCGAGTTGCTTATTGGATGAGATGTAAAATCAGAGAAGAACCATGAGATAGCATGAGGTGGAAATCCATTCATGATTATCAGTCAACAACATGAGGGGTTGTTATTATATCACTTTGATTAAACTCCTGGAGAGCCTAATTAGATACTTGATAACTTCATACTTGGTATAACATAGTGAGAAAAAAGGTGACAAATTGAATTGAAACGACACCAGCCATCTGGGTCTTTGTTTGGAAAGAGCACTCATAAGTCACAGCTTTTTAAAAATGCGTAGGGGGTAGGAATCGATTACCGACTACAAAAGACCTTTGTGGTAATGAAAGATATCTAGAGTCGAAAACTTGTCGAGGGCTCCAAGATACATGAAAGACATGGTTTCTATTCACATTGCTGTACATTTACAGGAAGCAACAGACCGAAATGTATAGTTCATCTCTTATTGTACATTACGGAACAAACAGGTGATGTTCCGATAAGAAAGAACTAGTCCGACGACTCATCTAACACAACCACACAGGATAAATACACAGTAAGAATATAGAGAAGACTTTTCAAAATGGAATATAGAAATAGTAGTAGGAAGGTAATAAGTACAAATACAAAAGATTAATTTGCCAGGAGAATAAGTTGACACAATCAGCTTGCCCGTGGAGGCAATCTGCCAAAGTTCATCATTCAAATATTTTGAATTGATTATTTCTCCCAATGCTCTTGCTTAAAGCATGATAATGTTAAAAAAGAGATGAGTTTACATTCCCCCAGATATTTCTGCTCTCACATGGTGGCCTCTGAAAAGATTGTCTTTTTTTCAGATATTCCGGGACTCGTTCAGAAAGATATTAAGTTTACTTTATCCAGTTATGTCTGGCTTCGGTCAGTCAGAAAGGCAGTAGATCAAGGCAGTTGGGGTTCTTGAAGAATGGTGGAAGAGGTTCGTCCAGCTTGCTGATCACCTTGTAGATAGTCTTCTTCCAGGATGGCTCGTTGTCCTTAACGGACTTGATCGCCGTGAAGAACTCACGCAATGTTGTGGTGGATACGTGCAAGAAGCCCTCCGGTACCTGTAGAAACACAGAGGAGAAAGATAAAAAACATGCTTGTTATAGATTTTCAGGAAGAGAAATTAAGACGGCAAGAAAGAGTACATTTACTGGTTGGTAAAACAAGATGCACAAAGTATTTTCGTCATATATTTCCTCGTATATAAATACAACGTAGTCAGGGGCATGAGTGCCTACAAGTACAACCCTTGATACATACTACAGAAGAAACTGATTTGAATGTATGTGTGATCATTTCAAAGACATGTTTATATTTGTCCTACAAAGATAAACACAAAATAGGTGGTATCTATTTGCTTCCATTTCCTTAGTATATATATGAAATTTCCTATGAAATAGTTCTCTATTCACCATGATATTATAATTAATCTCATTTTCACTAATCAGTGCTAGACTCTCTCTCATAGCATTCATGTCCCAAGAGAAACCCTGAGGTACGAGCCGAGCCGAGCCGTGAAGATGAGCAATGACTCAAACATGAAAAGATCAGCTATCTCGCAAATATGGCAAGATCATGGACTTGAAATAAGCATTATGAGATATTGGCTAAGCCAAGTTGATGATCAAAGATCATAACATGTTGAGTGATTAGGAACAGGTGTGAGTTGTAATGACCAAACAAACACAACTTTCACTCAAGGAACAAATGTCTTTTCATCAGCCACGGGTTTGAAATGCCAAAAAAGTGTCCCCAAATGAATATTAAATAATTACAGGTAATCAACATTGAGAAAGTCCCAAAGGATCAACATTGTCAACCATGTAAAAACAAAATAAAAGCCAAAAATGTATCAGATTGCAATGAAATTTGACAAATAAGCCCTTAAAAAATTGAAATGGTTCTCTGTGTCACCTATTGAACCATTCAAACGTGACAATGACATATTACATAATCTGAACAAGATTTCTATTAGCAATAAATGTGGTGTTGAAAACGCCCTTCATTAAGTTGATTTCTCAAAAGTATTTGGAATCATATTATATGTTTTTTTCAAACTTCATTTACAAAAGTGTCAACATGCACTTTTTTGTTTTACTTTATTCCTTGTAGATGAATTGTCAGTTGGGGTAGGTAGACATTCATTTCAATTACCGGTTGGTCTTCCATTCATTCTTCATCTTCTATCTCAAATTCCCAGTGTCACTTTCCTGTCACACTTGACAGGTGATTCATGACTCTGTCACTCATCACGATACATGCACACAAAATTAGATTCAATTGAAAATAATCGCATGAGGGAAGTGCAGGAGTTGCAGCAAAATGCATGACAGATATCAGAAGAAGCAGTGAGAGAGAGATATAGAAAGATACAAGCAGAGCAAGAGAGAGAGAGAGACAGAGAGAGAGACAGAGAGAGAGAGACAGATACAGGCAGAGCGAGAGAAAGAGAGAGAGAGAGAGAGAGAGAGAGAGAGAGAGAGAGATAAAGAGAAATATTAGGTAGAACAGAAAAGAGGAGAGAGAAGGAGAAAAATAAATAGGTACAAGATAGGCCAGGAAGGGGGTGGGGGGGGGGGGGGGGGGAGGGTACCAATTTATGGTTCACTGGGGGGGGGGGAACACTTTTTTCTATGCATTCTTCTCAATAAATCTCCATCTCTGCCATAAGAAAATAATTGCATTTTAAACCTTTCATTTTAATCTATTTTCCAATTGCAGCATTCATCACCCTAGCAATCAGTGCTCCTCTAATTACCGACACCGCCATAAACTTGGACAGCAACAAAAATCCTACATTTCAATAGATACTTCATTATGTCAACAGAGCTTCGGTTATTGGGTACTTCATATTTTCTACTAATGCTGATATAATAACTGAGCAAAAAAAACTCCCAATCTTACAGGATGAGGTAAATTGGCAACACGACGCCGACGTGGACAGCGAGAGATTTACATTGAATTTATTTCCTGGCATTTTTTCAATGTCCACTGTGTTGAGACTTTGCTGGATGTGTGAGCGATGGGTGTCAGTGAGGTAAATCAACTTAACCTTGTTCTGCCAAGCCAAGATATTAGAATTAAATGAGAAAAGAGCAGAAGGCAACCGTGTATCATCGTCTGTCATCAAGTCAACCACACCTTGACGGGATGTGTGTTCAGCCCTCAACAAGAGTTGATACAATATCATAAATACCAGGCTGATAACATGAAGGGATAATAACAAATAAATTATGGTATTAAACCATTGAAGAATAGACATGTATTTAAACGTGATCTGAAAGAATGAGAAAAATACAGACTATAAAGAAAAAAACAGATATAGAGAAAATAATGATTGAAATACAGAGAGAGAGAGAGAGAGAGAGAGAGAGAGAGAGAGAGTATTGGAGAGTTTTAAATTTCTAGTAGTAATTAGTATCTATTTGATCAGAAAACATAAATATTTCAATTGAGCTATTTTTATAATGCTTGTACACTTAAAATTGAAAATCAGCTAGTGAGGATGTTGTTGTTTGTTTGTTTGTTTGCTTGCTTGTTTTGTTTTTACACCTCATACACCATTCCAGATACCTAAGGCTAAGCCATGTTGATGCCATCCTTGGTAGGATTGATTTAAAAAGAGGGGGTGAGAAGAATGTGGCTTTATGAGAACCACCCACTTTTGATTGAAGACAAGTGTTGAGGCCATGCTTCCTCCCAGGGCATTGGATCTCTCAACGCAATGGTAAATAAAGGAATTAAAGTATGAATATGTAACCAATAAAGAGGTATAGGAGAGAGAAGGGGGAGATGGAGAAAAGCCTTGCCTAATCTATTCACCACCATGTCTACAATGTCAATGAAGTGTTGACAAGCAAGGGAGTAAGGAATCAAAACAATGAAATGGTCTGTAGCAATGCACTGTGTGGTTCACGGTCACCAGCAACACTTCGCTTCACTGAAGGAGAGAGAGAGAGAGAGAGTGAGTGAGACTGAGAGGGGGGGGGGGGGGGGAGGAATACCGTGAAGGTTAGCGTGATGGAAGGTGAAAGGACAGGGGAGTAGGAATGAGGATGCAGTCTGGTAGAAGAGAGACCCAGAGCAACCAAGGGGCCCTGCCCAGAGATACTGGTATGCAGGAGACAAGACCGAGACCGACCGAACGACTGAGACAGGGAGGGAGGGAGAGAGGGAAAGAGAGAGAAAAAGTACTATGAACCTGAGATGCTAATGGAAGTCCCTGACAGAGGATGGGCAAGGATGAGTAGTCTACCAAATGAGCCTCCTACAAATAGGCTCTAATTTGTGGGGATGACACAAACAAGGATGGAAAGACCTAGGGGTGTGACTGACAGAGACCTCCACTCATGTCCATTGTAATCCAATTACACCAGCCCTTTCGCTCCTTCAAGATGCGCTAAACGAAACAACACCCCTAACCTCCGTCTGATTCCGTGCGATGCTTGCTTCCGTCCTGAATACCGCAGCAGCTAGCCAGCAGAGCCAGCAATTCTGCAATTCATTGTCCCAACTGTTTATCTCCTAATCGGCCGTCAAGGCTTCCCTTATTGGCATACAAAAGTGTAATTTTCCTCCCCCTTTTATGCCATAATTTCCTACCAAACGGGCTTGAAGGAAAATGCTTAAAGTGACTAAGTGGCATATTCCTTTCCCTTTGTAATCTTGCAGCATTAAGTCGGCTTTAGCCGTGTCTCCTAACCATAATGCACTTATGTGGCAACAGTATTCATTGGAAAACCAAGGATCTAAATAAAAGCCAATCGTTTCCTTAGCAACAACCCCAGTATAAAATACAGACCTGTTGCATACACTTGTAGATTCCCCGCAGAAAAAGTACAGACGAAGGGCAAAGCTTAGTTGAGGACTAACAAATCAATTAAGGTTTTATGTACCTTGAAATTCTCCCTAAGCTCTCACGGATCACACTCTGCCCAACACCACTTTCTCCGTAATCACTCCATTTTTCATTAATAAACTCAGATTTGTGGCCTGGCGTATCCCAGCAAGGATCTAATAGATGCTGTTTAATTTCTCCTGCACGCTACCTAAGATTTCCTGATATTAGGCGCCAATGCTGAGGATTTTAGACACAAGAAGTGCAATCAAATTGCAATATATTTTTGAAACCTCTAAATGGCAGGATGGTATGATGCGGTAATTGCTTTTTTATGACGCGACTCCCAATTAGCCAGACATTTAGAAACTTGGAGGTGGATATGGAGAGCTGCAAATGAAACACAAGTAGCTGCTGGCGAAGAGCTAATTTCTTTCAAACTGGATGAAATTGATTTAATGTTGACTTGTATAATATGGGAATTAATCCAGCCTCAGCACTTAATCACCACGCCTGTTGATTCGTCGTCGCCCGCAGATCACTTGTTGAACAAAGTTTCAAGGATTTGTCCCTTTGTTGATTTCAGTCTTTATTATAAGTAATTTATGATGACATATCAACATTCATATGAACCAGTGCATGAAAGTTTTACATCGCGATCATGGTCTTAATGCCTACCAAACTAATCAGACCAATGTGAATGGGTTTCCCTGACAAATTGACAAACAGAATGGTTTGGGCATGAACCTAAGAAAAGCAGGGTTTTTGCATGTTGGCAAAATTTCTTAAAATAGACTCAGGTTTTTCTTGTTATGCAAACAACTATAACAGGCCAAAAGTAGCAGCAATTTTACAGGGATGAATAAAATGAACTATGCAGGAGGAAACGATAGCCAGGCGCTTTTTTGAGTGTTTTAACAAGCCCTCCTGCAATAACCATGTACCCTTGATATTGTGAATGGATAGATGGTAGAATCTATGTGAACATTTATCAAGATTGAGACATTGGTTATGCTCATGACTCGAAAGTACTTTGAACCCTGGCTTCCTTTGAACCTTCTGTTACATCAATTACCGACCCGCTTTCTTTCCTCTCAATGTTAATGGGAGTGCGAGGGGTGGAGGGAACAAACAGAAAAGTACAAGATGAAGGCTGGATGGATGCGAAGAGTGAGAGGGAGAGAGAGAGAGAAAGAAAATGAGAAAGCAAAAGAGAAAGAGATT